AACTTCATCGAGCAGGGAGCTGGCACCAAGATCAGAACCTTTATCATCCCCACTGTTTCTGCATTCATTAGAGAATGCTCTGAAAGATATTGGGAATTGCTCTCCCTCAAAAGTGTCTTTAACTCTAATCAGGCAATGCCTAAGACTAGACTTAACATATCCAGGAACAAAGTCACCAAAGAGTAAATGCCTGCCCAACCATTCTTTCCTCTCCACTCCCCAACTTCTTTCTTTTTCAAATGCTGATATGTGATTATTCAATATCTAAGGCAAGTGGAGCTTGCAGGCTCACCACACACGCAAATTTGCAGAAAGGGGGGGGAAGGGGGGAAGGAGAGAGGAGTTAAATAATTCTGAGAAGGGCTACAGTCTTCCAAGAAAAAGCTCTGTGCGTAATATGGGAAGTCAAATCTGCAGAGTCTAACTCTTTGTAAGAAGGAATAATGAACATGGTAAAGACACATAACAGAGGAGACAAAAACCAGTCCCTTTGTCTCATCATTGGTGCTTCCCACACACAGTCAGAATGGGAAACTAATGGCTTTATCACAAGACTATGGGGAATATTTCAGTTAGAATGAGCAGTAAAGACATTCCTAGTTGCTAGATGCTCAGTCTTCGTATGATGGCAGGAAGGGCAAGTTTAAAATAACAAAAAACAAGAAGAGAGACTCTCCCAGTTTCTGCAAAGCCCAGCAGGGACCACTGACTGTCCTCGCACTTTCTGCTGCAGTCTTCAGGCACCCACAGACGTTGATCAAGTGTGAACGGAAGCTGTGCTGTTTGTAACTGAGCTGTTGCCTGACCAAGATGCAAAGCCCAGGAAGCCAAAGAGTTCTTGGCTCGCTTCTTTCTTTCTTCATATCAGTTCCAGAGCTGAGCATTTAATAAAAATTATTCAGTACACCACCGTCACATAAAGGGGAGATAGAAAGAAAGGAGAAAGGAGCCTAAAGTGAATATCAAAGCCTCACATAAACAAGGCATAATGAAGGAAAACAGCAGCCCATTTTTCATCCCTTCAGAACGTGGTGAATGTGCAGTCCCTGCAAGCATGCATGGCTTCTGCTTCCTATTAACAAGGCGCACGTTAATAAATTTAACTCAGACAACTTTAACCATCCTAGGGCCACATTAATCAAAAGCCTGACAAGACCAATCTGAAAGAGTTGAGCAAGGAAAATAAAGCACAGCTGACACAGAGGATGCCATGCCCTCATTGTCCCTGGGCCGCTCCCACTCTATCAGCATCTCCAGTATGGCAATAACTCCTTCCCACTGCGCTCCTATCATGTTGTCTTCCCAGCACTCCTCACCCACCCAATGCCTCTTCATCAGTGATGTTTCCCACTCCCCATGTGTCTATAACTAGAGAAAGATTTAGAGTATTTAAGTACAATTATGTGCAATAGCTACGAAGTCCTGGCGAGCTTTGTGTTTTACCTATGTCACTGGTGTTACTGAAAAGAATCTCTCAGGGTATAGATTAACAAATGTATAAAGGAGAAATAACAAATTTGATAGGAAAGCAAAATGACTATAGCTCATGAAAACTATGAATTGGCCGGAACCAGAAGGAAAGCACAAGGGTTATCAATTTTTATTCATCACTTCTGTGCCAAGTTCCCCAGTGCTGGAACTCCACATCGCTTCTCAAGCTGAAAAACTTATGCATGGAAACTGTACAAACCAATGGGAGTTATTACTGGGGAAACCTCCACCCTTTGGTCCCTTCATATTTAGCTCTAAGTTGTTGCTTTTAAGTTATGTTTTTAGCATGGAAAATACTGACAAATAGATCTTTCCATCAGCTGGACCACTTCACAGAAAGAAGGGCATGTCATACACAAGACGAGGAAACTGAGAAGAAACTGCTGATCAAAGCCACACAAAGCAGCACAAATTAGGCTAAGTGTGTCCCCAAAAGCCATAATTATCCAAGCTGCTTAAACAAAATAAGCACATACGTGATTATTCAGATTTGCCTAGAGGCATCCCCACAGCACAAAACATGGTGTGTTGCCTTGCTGTTCTTCCACTTGACAAAACAGCAAATATTTTCATCACCTAAGAGTATTGGTGTTCACTTTTATAGTCTTGGAAACTTGAGAGAAACTGTGTCGCCTTGCCGTGACACTGTCTTTCCCCCAAACAATTTCTATTTCAGTTCAGACAACTGTATTTTCTACATGTTTTGGTTTGATTGAATTCAATTGGTTCATGGATAGATCTAGGAAGCCCTCAATCTTATTGCACTGCAAAGCTTCAGAGGAAAAGTTGTTTAGTGGCACATGATTTCACGGCATTTTGGTCAGAACTACAAGCTCCCACTGAATTCACATAACGAAATAAAGAGGACTTCAGCCACGTAATTGGAATTTGAATCCAGATGCTGAATATTACAACAGCCTGAAGTATTCAAAACAAGTATCTGTCCAAACTGCTGATAGATCCTTTATGAAACTTTCAGCAAATCTGTGCTGAATAAGCCAAGCCTTGTTTTCATAGACAGGTTAATGACCTTTGGAAACCTGCCAGACGCGCTCTTAACACCACGAGATGCATCCTGATACACTCTGAGAACACAGCACTCCAGAAAATGGCAATGCCTCCTAATATTGTCACATTTATATCATGATACTCCCTAAAAGCAGTGTGACTCTTGGGATACTGTTGCGCTGGCCAGTACTGTGTTGTCATTTCCTCATGATCCTCATTTCAGCATCCGTGCTTCTCAGTTGCCATGAATACAGGCTGCGTCTGCGTGCACAGAGGCCAGCCGTTCTCCTGTGCTGTACCACACCTGGCACCATAAGGTTTCAGTTCAGGGCTAGCCCCAAGGGCTAGAGAAGGTATCAAGTCTAGCATATTAGCATATGCAATTATGTTTCCCTCTTGTCTCTGGTGCCAAAGGTGTAAACATTCTTAACTATTCCTGCTTTAGTTCCATCAGTACAGACCTGCGATTTTCTTTCAGATTTTTTCATCCTGACTACTGCATCTGCATGACTGCAGACCCGGTCATGTTTTGGGGCTGGTCAGAAAGCAAGAATGCTGTTTTACAAAAACACTGGAGACTTTGAAATTGTTTTTTGCTTTCCTATCACAAAACACACTTTTCAGAAAGTCCTTTAACAGCCAAAGGCGCTTGAATTCAGTGTTTAACATATTTGTTCACCATGTGACTGACCCGCTTCAAGTCCTTCCTTTGATAAATCCAAACATTAGCCTAGCTTTTGCTCTGTACCTTCATTGGAAAGGCATACTCACTTGGGCAGAAAAACTTGTTTGCTGCGTGTCTCTCTGGGATGGCTCCAATCCTCAAATGAAATATTTCAACTTGCTGTCTTTCAGTTGCCCTATGAAGACCTTTTGCCACAAGGTTTAAAAACTGCTGTCAACAGCTAGCATCTAACCAGGTGATCATGTGCAGTGTGCCAAAAGCTTCTTTATATAACCAGCCTCCCCCCGCCCAACTCCCACCCACTGCTTTTCTGTTCTGTATCATTATCGTGGAACAGAAGTGCTTAAGGGCAGGAATTATCTCTTCATGTCAGGCGTGGACAGCACCCACCACAGCGAAACCCCCTAATCATGTGCTGTATGTGCTACTGTAGTGTAAATAATACTATTAATAGCAACACCAACAATCCAATTTTCTCTCTGACACTGCCTCCAGTTTCTGCCACTGAAGCTCTGTACGTGCACATACCTTATGAATTCCCATGTAGCCTGTACTTGGCGATTTTGCTTTAAGATTTCAACCTAGTAAAGCACGTTCGTGTTCAGAAATTTGCTAAGTCAAGGTAAATGCTCAATTTATAATAAAATTATTATAATACAAAGTATGAGCTCAGGATGATTACGCTATAATGTCACCATAGCTGCAGTCACTGTGCTCTAAACCTGAACCAGGAAAGATAGCAATAATTTTCACCAACTCTGATATTTGAGCTTCTTTTTAGTTTATGCATGTATCATGGACATTATGAGGAGTCCTACTCACATATCACCACGTACCCCTGAACGGAGAATTCTGCAATTAGAAATGTGGTTCATATCACAGAATCCCGTTGGATACTTCTAGCCTAATACCTCCGTGAGATAATGATATATATTTGCTTAACATCCCAAAAGATCTTAAGACAATTTAAATTTCCACACTCCCTCAAAGTTCTCAACCTGTGTTATAGATGTGTGAAGAGCAGAGATAAAAAAATCAGTTTATGCCTTGTTACTGACTCAAGAAAAAAAGTTAACCTACATATAAATAGTAATTTAGGCTCTCAAATCAAAGCTAACCAGAATCTTCTTATCATTTGCTGTTGATTACAGAAACTTGCATATCTTAATCTTGTTAATCAAGTTCGCTGAAGGTCTAAATCTTTGATTTTCACAATGAAAAATAATGACCTTTAGATATAACATGACAGTTATAATATTTATCATTAGATTGTACACCATCGCTTCGGACTCTGACAGAATGTAAGGAGCTATATTGTGTCCAGATGGATCTACTGGGCACATTGGAGGAGCTGGAGTTTCACCAGAACAAGGAAGACTTCAGTTGCTGCCCACAGCTGGTAAAGAGTGATCTTGTACTTTTTTTTTTTTTTGGCAAGTTTGAGACCTCAGAATACATAAATCATTTCAATATGGAACATCACCACACACACAAAAAATCAAATTTCTTGCCCCATTGATTACTTGAACACGGTTTCTTTCTGTTGGAGATATTTTATATTGACCTTTGACATTGATTAAGATCATTAAAGAAAAATTTGAAGTAAAAAATGGTGTCGGCTCTCCTGCCTCCCCCTTGTAAATCTGTAATTTAAAAAAAAAAGCATTGTAATTGGATATTCCCCATATTTAGATTTCTTTTTCCAAAATGAGAAAAGCAAGAAAACCAACATGTTCACAAAACAGGTTGTCATTGCCACTGCTGACTTGACCGCAACTTGCCAGCATCTTTTTTAATGCTTCATTTGGCTACTTACAGAATTGCTCCAAGTCGTCTCTTTTTTTAGATTCTGGCATGGCAGTGATCGTGAGCAACGGGCAAAGATTTCCTCCTAGCGTCTGGCAGAGTGTCTGCTGCCTCCAGTAAACCTTCTTGGGGTTCCTGTTTTGTTCCAGAATATCAAGATGGGACTGAGAAAGAAGCAAGGAAGTAGATTTATAAATGAGTTCACGGTCTATAAAATCTGATTTTATTCCACTAGCTGTGTGTTACAATTGGTCCTAATTTCATCTCTTGCTAACTTCCCAGCTTCCCTCTTCTGCCAGTTAATATCATCACCTTTGACATCCCACAAATACGCACAGACCATTCAGAATACATCCCAGTTCACTGAAACTGCAGAGAACTGTTACTCTCACATCATTTTACCCACCCCATTTCCAGGTGCTTCTCTTATTAGCATAAAGGAACTTCTGTGCATACATGAAGTCCCAAAGTGAACTGCCTACTCCTTATATTCTAATAGCAACTGTGCAGAAACGTGAGAAAATTCACCATTTTCGAGCATTTATGGAACTGACTGGTTATCTGTCAAGCACATGCCAGTGAAACTCAGGAACAACTCCACAGCAGCAGCAGCCAAACAGTTACATCAAAACAACATGTTGTACCATCAGTAGTGGGAAATTTGAAGAGAGTCTTTCCAAGAAGTTATTTAAAAAGGAGATTTTCTTTTTCTGCCTGCAAAGTTTATGGCAGTTTTAAACAATTCTTAAGTCCAGCAGCTTCTTGAGAAATTTGAGAAAAAGAATTGGCAGCTAAAAAAAAAAAAAAAAAAAAAGACTTTTTGGAACAAATTCTGATCGTTTCATTAGACACTTAGCCACTTGTCACCCACACACCAGATGACGTGTAGTTCTCTCTGTTTACATTGCAATTGCAAGTGGCAAGATTAGTGTAAGCAATGCCATCGCAGGGTGTTGCTAAGGGTTGTGGGACACCGGTTGTCTCTCAGTAGAAATAGGTATATTACAGTACGCACACTTGTCCTAACAGTACTTTAACCAAAATGCACCAATTCCTTACAACCCTTACATGGTCACTTTTATGTCTTTACGAGTCAGGGCTTATTTTAACTATTTATGGGACAAGACATTCCTGTTCCTCAAACCTTAGAGCTTCCTGTCTTTCAGACTGCTCTCCCAGTATCCATCTGAATGCAAACACAGAACTGAAGTTTACAGTCATCTATGTCATAAAACAATTAACATACTGCTCTATAAAGTAAATTCAATTATTAGACGCATCTAATGGTCTTGCATAGATACAGAGAACTCAATATAATAATTTATTTATGTTCCTAGTACCCAGTGAAACTTAATTGGGTATAGCTGCCACAGAGATTTCATCTAGATATCCAAACAATTAACACTGTGATGTAAAAATAGATAAATTACTGTTCATAAAATAAATGTAATTACTAATGGACAAAAAGTAATGAACTGCAGAGTGCATCCAGTTCAAATAGGATTCTGCAATATGTATTTCCTGTAAATATGCCTGTAACTATTAAATATATATGATATTTTAAAACATTTTCAAATTACTAACTCTATATACAAGTTTATCTTCTTCCCCAAAGCACTACGTATTTAATTGAGCCCTTGGGTTCATAATCACTTTTAATTTATTACTGATATGTAAAACCAACATACTTCACTAGTGGACAAATGCTTTAAAAATGAAATCTACTGGTGTGCAAACCTGATTTAGTTTATTTACTATGGAAATTAAAGTAGCATAGAAATGTGCAAATTGCATCACTTGACATTTTAAATTAGTCCAAGCAAAGAAGCCTTTTAGAATTATTAGAGACAACAATCGTGCTTTGGCTAAAGAGCCGGACATGAAAAATCTATCAATCTTTTCCATCCATAATTCGCATTTACCAAACTTTATCGTCCTTACTGAGTCTGAGTTAATTTAAACTTTTCCTAGGGCAAAATTCCCTTTAACTTCAATGAACATTTTATTTGAAGAGCCAGTGAAATACTTCAAGACTTGGCCCTGCAAGTCTAGGAATAACATCTTTTTCATCTCTATTCTATTCATTGAGGAGCAGGTGAGATATTCAGGGATTCCCAGAGCATACAAACTCTCCAAGTCTCTCTTGCTTTTGTGCCAGCGGAAGATAGAAATCAATAACAGTAAAATAATGATGAGGCACTGCATTTCAGTAATAAAGTATGGTGGTGAATAAGTCCACCCAATTCTTCAGTATTGCATTTGTCTTTTCCCCCGCAGACTGTAGTATATACATGCCTTCAAGGCTATAGGTCAAACCCCGCTACTGGAGCATTGATTTTGAGGAGTAACTGGTACCCATAAGCCTAATGAGAAGTGAGCTGGCAGGCCTATTTTGGACTGTGAAGGCTTGACTGGCCCTCTCCCAGATATTGGAAGCAGTTTCTTTGAACATCTATAATGGGATGCAAAGCAGTTGACAAGAGACTGTTGTTTGAGTGGGAATTAATCTAAGCCTAACTATGCTGGCATGCCAAGCAGCATGGCTAGTAAGTGGGACAGAACATTGTCTCCCTTGAAAGCATAGTCTTTCATCTCTAGTAATGGCAAGCTGATACCATTACAAAAAAAAAAAAAAAAAAAGAGTCAGCCCAAACTTCACCAACCCACACTGGCATTTATTGCCCAGAAGAAAAAGGGTTGACAATGGAAATTAAGGTGAGAAGGAAGGGGAACTGAGCTACTGGAACTGTGTGTCTTCATTTTCAGTAACATCTTTCTCATCTTTAACAACAAAGCAAAGCTACTCCCAGAACTATTCGTTTCCCTTCTTTTATCCCACCTTCCTTTCAAATCTTGCGCTTTCCTACATCAATCACAGAGAAAGCACATTGGATGCATTTCCCAGAAAATTCCTTTACCATCCACCTTGGCCAGAAAAGACTGCAGAAAACAAGTCCTTCCTCAGAAGGCAAAGTTGGTACAACTCAATAATACAATGTACACCTCGGACTTGTATTCTTTTAGTTTCCATACTGACAGCATGGGTGGGGGTGTCACAAATGCCTCCTGACAATCCAACTAGCACAGAGGAAACAGCTGACAAAGCATTCCTATGAGGTCCAGCCCTGTGGTATTGCTGGGTGCAGCCTTGAAAGCTGAGCTGTTACCCTCTGCCAGGAGGGGTGGGCAGCTTTCACTTTCTGAGTTGCCATCAGCTTTAGCCCCCTACTTTCCACTCCTTCAGGAGAAGGATCCTGCAACTCTAAACAGACATCTTTGGTTTGTGTTATGACTTGTATAAGCATTAATGGTCTGTACCCCAGCTTATGTCAAACAGAAATTTCTTTTCTCCTACAGCATTCTGGGCTTCAGAGCTGGCATGGGCTGCAGCTCCAAACAAGATAATAACAGCACCATGATCATCAACTGCTTGTGAAAACAGTCCTCTACACTGTCTCAAAATCTACACATACCCTGTCAGACCCATTAGCTTATCTAGATGGACACATCAATATTACCATCATTGTGGAATAAGTGTAGGGGTAATGGTAGGCCAGATAGCAGACATCATCTTTGTGAGGGAACTTGATGCTGAAGGTGAGTGTGTAGTAGCATTTTCCTCTCGTGCCTCCTGCAGCTGCACTGCAGCGGTAGTGGTTTCTGGAAGAAGAGAAAGAGAGGGGAAGTAGATGGTTTTCACTTCCAGATGCACATTTGGAGCAGCCCTGAGAGAATGAAGCATTGAGAAGTGTCTGCCCTGAATGAGCTTTCATCTCATGCTATAGATGGGCTTCAAACTCAATCAGTCATTGTACCAAGACTGGGAAGGGCCCATGCAAGTACAATCAATCCAATCCCAGCAATGAACAAGTACAAAAACATAACACAGAGCTAAACAACATCCATTAACACAGCAACGCACCTACAAGCTATGTGAAAGAAGGAAGGTTAGAGAAACCACGGCTCCACACGCAAACAGGACCATGACAATAAGTACCACTGACCAAGGTGGTACACCAGATTCAAGGGTGCCTTGGGATTCATGTAGTACAGAGACCAGCAGGGAGCTCCGAGGCAGAACTGTGTGTGGCAGTACTGGGCACAGCCAGTCACAGCTACTCATGTGCTGCTGATGGATGGGAGCGCTCTCATCGGAAAATAACTGTTTCACTTTGTGAAGGTGCAAATAAGAAGCCAGCTAATACTAGTTCATATAGCACACTCCAGATGTATTTAAACTAATGCATTCAGCTAATGCTGCTGTATTTCTTCTGACATCCAAATTATCTTGCTCAGATGCCGGTACCTATTCACAGCCCTGAACAATGCCATGTGAAAATATTCTGTGAAAGCCTGGAGATTTAGAAAATATGAATACCTTACCAAACCAACCATTCAGTTCCACCACAGGAAGAAAAGCAATATTCCAGGAATAAAAATAAATAAATAAATAGGACATACATAAAAATATTTCACATATCAAAGACTCTTTCCTAAGTAGGAAGGAGGTGAGTGGGTTTGGGTAGAGACTGCACACAGAGAAGTGACTTCATATAGATGTGCAGGCTGCGAGCTACCCAGAGTCCTCTCATTTGGATCCCTCCTTTTCAAAGGCTTGAGCCTCTCACTGTCAGGGAACAGCGAGGACCAGTTGCTCCATAAAAGATGGGGAGCTGAGCTCAACGTGGAATCCAGCAGAGCAGGGGCCTCGCCAAGCAGGGTCCCCTCCCACAGTACCTGAGCAGGTCATGCCTAGGCTGGGGGGGCAGACAGCTTCACCCACACATCCTGATCATCAGACAAGTTTGTGGTGATGAGACAGGTCTGTGCCAAGCCAGGAGGTCCGTCCATGGGTCAGGATCCAGATCAGAGCTCACAGGAAAGCACAGACACAGCAGTGACTGAGCTGGAGCCTCACTACAAGAGCTCAGACTAGGACTGAGTGGCCAGGGCTGAGCTTAAATAGAGCTCCTGGGCCCATGGGTGTGGGTGGGGGCCCTGGGGGAGGCTGGTCAGGGTCATCAAGGTCTACTACTCTGATAAAGAAATTACTTTAGGCTGAGTAAGAAAGTTTTCTTTCAGCAGAGATGAAGAGACAATTCATGCACTTTAGGGAGAAGCCTCGCAGCAAATCACATCCATAAATACATTTCAAACAATATTTTTCCCACATTGCACCAATTATGCTGTTGCCGAACCTTCTGATTCTGAAGGACTGTGAGGTTTCTTTGACAAATGTTATCATCAATGTTGCATTAAAATGCAAAATAGAAGAGGCAACCAAAAGATGCAATTTCAGCTCCTGAAATTTACAATACTAGTTTATTTTGCCGCTGTTCATTTTTATTCAAAGGGGTGGAGAGAAAAGATAATTATTCTTGTCAAATTCTCCAAAATAATCAGCTCTTTTTCATAAAGAAGATACAATACAATGCTGCTGGGTTTTCACCTGAATTTAATAGTTAGGAACACGTGGGGTGAGCGATACTGACTGGATCAATAGATAGTAGAGGAACACAGTCGCAGTGGCAAACTGAAAAGCCTATGATTTTA